CGAACTCGGGTTCGAACCACGCGCCTGAGCTTTGTCACTCCCGTAGAATTCGCTCGTTTGTTGGACCACCACTCACTCGCCCTTAACATTGTAGTAAGTCTGTGTGATCTCGTTTACCCACCCCAGATAGGCATCAGAGTATGTGATTTGCTCACCGATGAGATCAAACGATAGTGGGTTCGTCTGTAATCATGTAGCCACATGGTCGGGCAGAACATCAAACGGCGAGGCAGGCGATACATCAACACGTATCGAAAAGTTTAAATTCGAGACACAGCGGTTGCTCTCAGCAACCAACCAATGCTTCAGAAAAGTTGCCCATGGCAACCCAAATGTCGTTTTCCACCACACCGCGTTTGGTCTTTGAACTTTCCACACTATTCATCACACGGCACTCAAACTGTCTAACAAGATCCGAGCGGAGTTTGACCCGAAACTCCAATGTAACAAATAAATCCAGTAAATTTACACCTACACGGAGCAATGTGTCTTTGTGTACTCTGGTGAATCATTCATCTATAGCATCATTTCGGTGCCTAACTGCCAAGTCACCCGAAGGTTGCACGAGGGCTGAGATACTGCCAGGTTGCCCAAGCCTAGACAGGGGAAGTCGAGATGTGGGGGTCGGGTTAGAACCACGAACCTTCCGGTCAGTAAATTTGCGCTCTAACGAAGTCAATCCGATATTTATTGTACATTTACTAAAGAACAGCAGGATCTTGGGAAATACACACTCATTTGCAAATCATTTTGATTTTCACGAGAGACTCAACGTAATCTCTCGTTTATGATACTCTACAATTGAATGTGCTGCACACAGACCGCCTCATGATTCAGTTGGCACGATATTCTAGTAATCGCAGTATATTTTCATAAACAAAACTACTCACAAGGTTATTGAAAACTCTTTGGCAGTCCACGACCGGTTTCACCCTCCTTGAGTTCAGTCTGCGGTGAAAACCAAATGGGTTTGCAGATTTGTCTGATCGATTTTTAATTTCATCGCGGGCAGTGTGGGTTCCAACTGGGTTTGCAAATTTTACTCGAATCCTACCATCGGGGTGTAGAAGTAAACCGGAAAATGTCCTCCGGAATTGGAACGCAACAAACTGTTTAATCTAAAGACAGACTGGAGAAGATCGAAGACAGAACAGGGGTTTAAAACCCCCAGTTACTGTTTATTGCTGTATTTGTAGTTAGTATGCCATTGCGTGTTTATTTTCAACGTATTCCAATCCGACACTCATCAGACAGGATTTTATTGTTCCCCGGGCGTTGCTGTGTCGTTACAGGGTTGTGACAGAAAGTGAATTCCAGCCAATCATGATAAATTCATGATTGTAACGCTAGTCTTCGGTTATATGGCTATGATCGTTACCCCCTCTGGTCTTTTGAGCTCAGTCTCTAATGCGCGAATTTAATGACTGCAAGGGCTCTGGTTTCGAAACTAACAACGGCAGCCTCTGTCTAGGCTTGGGCAACCTTGTATTTTAGCAAAATACACTCATTTGCATACAAGAATTGCGAGCGACACACCTGGAACTCAACTGAGTCTCTCGTTTGTGACGCTTCCTTGTATTTTCTTCGGCATCGAAAGGATGTTAACGCTGAAAGATTATAATCTGGTCTTAGGCAAGAGGTTGGCTGATGAGTTTAAACTCTGCCCAGATGGAGACTCATAGAAGTGCGTTTCTCAAACGCTCAACTATGTCCGGATTCTAGGTTTCCCCATGTTCGTTTTTATTGGCTGTTAGCAGACCGAATCGCTCAGCTTATCTCATGAAGCCCGATGAACAGTGACCGAAATTCGGTACAAAAAACTTGTATTGGACAGGAAACTTTTCACTCAGTGTGTAATCACGATCTCGCGCTTTCCTTATGTTATGTACCACAGTCCGATAATGCCTTCTTAATACCGTGAACCCCGGTCTGGATAGCCACGTGATCGCCTGGTGCGCTTGGCCAAACAAGAAAAAGTCAATGAACGTGCGAGCCAGTTAATTTATTGATCACTGTCGCGTACAAGCGGTCGAAAGTGATACTAAGAACACGACTCATCTGTCAAGGACGAGTGAAGAATAACCAATGAAATCCGTCTCAACGAAAAACGGTTATTCCATCGGCAAATATGTTGTCTCGTTACGTTTGGAGCTGGTTCTCCTACTACTTTAGCCTCCGCATGTGAACAAAATATCATAAGTAACATACAAAGTAATTAGTGGTGCAAGTTTCATGTTTCACTTTGTTCTGTGGTATGTGACCAAATGTGTGATTGATTTCTAGCATTTCTCTCACAAACTACTCCTCCCGATCGATAACTAATCGATGGATATTTTTGAATGCGCGGTTGAATGAGTAGGACAGAGTTTGATGTATGCTCATTTAAAAGTAGATTTTCCGGATGCGAAAGGCTGTGAATACACTTGATTGATAGTGATCTCAGCGCACGCACCACTTGTGGTGAGGAGGATCATTCTGATCCGCGTTTCCATCGGACTTTGTGCTAGGTCTCACTGGGTACCAATCTCAGTGTAAAGGTGTATACTACTGATGAGGCATGCGAGTAGCCTGTGGTAGTGTCTGAGCTCCGCCACACGTCTAATGGAAGGTGAAGTTTATTACGGAACTTGTGGTGCTGCCTTGCGGTTTTCGTTGTGTGTAATAATCAATGAATATCCTTGAAACTTTGGGAAGACGCGTGAGAATGTTCAGTTTCTGCTGCTGCACGGTTTTGGCAAACTGAGATGTCGCGTGTTCTTAGGCAGAATAAAGTCGGAAAACCGTGTGTGTTCCATTGTACCCAGCATTCTGAGCAATAAGTGCGCTCTCCAGGCATCATCTATGAAAGCATCTTCGTAACGTCTGCACCACGAACCAAAGGTCAGGCTGGCATCAGGGTCATAATGGAACCCCGTGATACTTTTGGCGATCGATTAAACTAAATTTGTATCTGGAGCGGAATTTGGTGGTTGAATTTTGAGTTACTGCGTCAATCAGACATAAATGCACCGCTTCAAACTGGTTTTGTTGTTGCAGCAGAATTTCTTTCAACCCTTTAGCAATTATTGTTATAGTTCTGTGGTTTCGGGCGTCGCCGATCTATTGTCTGCTGATTCACCAGCCTGTGGTATCTGCTGCTAACCCGCTCCAGTGCCCAGTGCCGGAAAGGGAGACTCACAGAAGGGAACACAACAGCTATATTCCAAACAAGCGAGTGCGGGAGCGTGAGTATGAGAGTAAAAGTTACAACGGACCCACGCTATTTAAAGGGGACTTTCTGAAATTGATCCAGGCTATCCGATAGGCGGTAGTGAACACCCATCAACATCTAT